TCTTACGCCTGAGTTGGTGTTTTTTTTTTCGAATGCCAATTACTCTGCTCAGTTCAAAAACCCTTTAGTCAATTCTATATCTGAACTTGCAATAATTCTGCTTGAACGCTTCTTCAATGCATAAAGCTATTGACAACTGGATGAAGGGTCTGTACAAGCTAGATGAATAGTGCTATGCACTGTATTGCTTCTACATATGTGGTAAAAGTGACGTACTATACGTTACAGTGACCTTAAAGATTTGTAGAGACTTAGATGGATCGAATCTCCACACCTCGAGCTGAAAGGTTTGCATGCTCGAAGTCGGTGCAGAGTTGATTCTAATGGTTAGGCCGACCATCAAAATGTCATTCAAAACAACCTGTGTGGATTTGCGACATGAAACATCGAATACAAATCTTAACTTGGTTGAAATGCTCCGCAGATGACATTGGTGGGAAATAAAAAAGTGCGGGGTATCCAAAATTTTTTTCCGTAGGTCACATAAGATCGAAACGAACAAAACAGTTCGGGGTTACGGCAATGCACATTAAAGCTTCCTTCTGGCAGCTGAGATTTCCTTCTTTTGCAGCCTTATAACTATTTCATATATATTCACTAGATACGATTCAGCCAAAACTAGCTTATAAAGGATGAGATTTTCTGACCCTTCTTTGAATTAGCCCATATTTAAGAAACGTCTAATATGCATATCAGCATTTCAAATATCTGGTAAAAGAATGAATCTACCAACTGAAGATGGTTATAACCAGAGATAGCTTAAAAACTCTCTCACTACAGTCAGTACCTTTTTCTCGGCCTCTGCCTACACAAAGCATGGGCTGAGGAGGATGCGTTAGCCAATTTTATGGTCTCCGGAATAGCATAAAATACAAGGATTCGGATCGTTAGCATGGACAATGCAGAACTGTCACAACTCTCACACACACACACACACACACACACCATTTACTAAAAATTCAGCACACTGTGGCAAAGCTTGTCAAACTTTAATTGAGAACAGGTTTTTGCTTCACTGCTCGAGAAATATAAAATAATGTAGTGTACAAATTAAAAAAAGAAAATAACCAACATAAACAGAAAAAAACAAATACATACATATTGTCAATAAAATAATATGTTGTTAAATATTTACAATAATTTTAACATATATGATAGTGATATGAATTACTTAGAATTATAGTGGGGATTTTTAGTGTAATTTGCTGAATAATTTCACTTGTTTATTTTCTAGCTGTAAACTAAATCTGTCATTATTTTTTGTGCTGATTATACTGAACCATTGATAATAGATATTTACAAGTTGTCAGTTACAACTCAACAAATTAAAAGTGAAATTAAAATCCCGCTTTTTTTTTTTGTTTTATAAGAACTGAACATCTCAAAAGAATAAAGCGGTAATGAACGGCTGAGTTGCATACATCGCTCATAAACGCTTATATTAAAAGAGTATCGTTCATGACCGACTAAACGAGTATGGAATAATTGTTCATAACCGACTAAATAGCACTACGAGTGAACTAAATGTCCGATTTAGTTCACTAATCACAGAATACGTTCAGTAGATCATTTTAATGACCCGTTCGATCGAACTTGCTCTCATAGCCGAGAAAACGCAAAAGCTAAAAATATAATGCTCTCTCAGCTTCGGCTGTATGAGGGCCGTGCAAGCAAGTATGCTAATAATTATATTATTAGTTTCCTAGCGCTAATCATGAACTATCCTAAATTTTTGTTGACATATGAATGCATGCAGCCATGTATGTAAACCGTAACCAGCCTGTCACCCTTCCAGTCCCTTCAATACAGGGTAACATTTCTGTCCCAAACAACTAGCTTTATCTTCCGACCAAATCTTAATTTATTATCAGAATGTCAGAGGTCTCATTTCAAAGCTTTAAAATCTTTTCATAGCGAGCACTTCCTTCGTTTCGGATATAATAGCATTTTCAGAAACAACCATATCTGATTTTGAGGTTTGATCGAATAACTTTATTTTGTATAGAAATGATCGGCCGACTCGAGGTGGTGGGGTATTAATTGCCGTTAAAGCCTTTCTCCAGTCAGAATTTTTCTGTTTTAGAACGCCTACTGACGCTGAGTTAAGGTGTTTTTTTCTGCACGGAATATCTATAAAACATGCTCTTATGTCCCCCGTTCTTCTGATATTCAAGTTTATATGAAACATATTACTTGTATTAAAGAAGTTTCTTCACACGATAATAACCTATTTATGGTGTTGGGTGATTTTAATTTACCGAATATCTCTTGGTCATTATTCACTAATGAAAATTATCTAGTGCCTTCAGCACAGCACGATTTTATAGATTGCATGCTTGATCTTTCGTTGTTTCAAACAATTCAATTTCTAATCATTTGAATAGAACACTTGACCTTGTATTTGTTAACGAATATCTTATATCTAATGTGTCTAGGTCCACTCCTTTATCTCTTCCTGAGGATGTCTATCATCCTACCTTAGAGATTGCAATGCTCAATTGTAATCCTTTCATTTCGCAAAGGAAATTATTTTTTGCTAAATCAGCTTATTTATGGAACCGATTGGTCTTTCTTATATGACTCGGTTGATATGAATACTGCCATTAATTTTTTTATATCACCCTAAACCTCCTCTTAGATGAGTGTATTCCTAAGTCAATACCTTCGACTACTTTTTCAAAACCAGGGTGGTTTGGTTTGGTTTACCGCCAAATTATCACATCTAAAAAACGTAAAATCTAAATATTTTAAATAGTATAAAAAGTCTTGTTCGTGTACAGACTTGGCTAAATATTCCATAGCCAAGTCGAACTTCTTTCTCAATGCTATGAGAATTATCTAACTCGTTGTAAAAGGCAATTCGCCCGAAATCCGAGACAGTTTTATAATTTTGTAAACTTGAAGCGTAAATCTTCAAGTTTGCCATCTTCTATTTTTCTTGGGATGGATAAAGCTAGCAATGACACTGATTCTGCTAACCTCTTTGCTAATTTTTTCCATTCAACTTACTCTTCAGTCTGTCCTAATACTAATTCTTACCCTTACTATTTACTTACTACTACTTACCTTACTATTTCTTCCGCTAGTTCTATACCTCGTCCCATTATTTTACACTCTTCTCCCCTATTAGCTATAAACTCTCTAAAATCTTCTTACTCTCCTGGGCCGGACAATATTCCTAGTTGTCTTTCTAAGGAGTGCAGTTCTTCCCTTTTTTATCCATTGCTAAAGCTTTTTAATCTATCCCTTGAAACTTCTGTCTTTCCATCTCTTTGGAAAGAATCTTATATCATTCCTCTTTAAAAGAAAGGTGGGAAGTCTGATATACAAAATTACAGAGGCATTGCAAAACTGTCCGCTATTCCTAAATTATTTGAAAAAATAATCACTTCAAATTTGCAGCATTTCTGCAAATGAATGGTTTCCCCTGTTCAACATGTAGTCGTAATGAATCGGTCAACTACGACCAATCTGCTTGAGTTTACTTCCTTGGTAAATGATGCTTTCCTTTCGGAAATGAAAACTGATGTCATTTACACTGACTTTAGTAAGGCGTTTGACTCTGTGCACCATGACATTTTACTTTTTACTTGGGTAGGACCCAGGGAGTAATGCTAAGGCTGACTACCTCTAAACGGGTTCACGTTACTTCTGGTGTTCCTCAAGGTAGTCATCTTGGACCTTTACTCTTTACTCATTTTATAAATGATCTCCCCTCTGTTATATCACATGCCCATGTACTCATGTATGCGGACGATGTCAAACTTTTTCTATCATACAATAATCCCCAACATCATTCTCGTCTACAAGACGATTTGAACGCTATACAACTTTGCAATCAATTGCATTTAAATTGTTCAAGGTGTATGTCTATGACATTTAATCGTAGGACACCTTATCTTGTCAGTTATACAATCGACAATATCCCTTTGCAACGTATACTAACAGTTAAGGATCTAGGCGTTATTTTTGATTCTAAACTCTGTTTCAATCTTCACATAGATACCATCGTTAACGAGGCAAAAGGTGTACTTGGATTCATTAAACGATGGTCTAAAGAGTTGATCGAATAAAACACCTCCATCGGTCGGTGATGCTATTTAGAAAATTGTATTCTTTAAATAGGCTTTTAGCATATAATTCTATTATCTATTGTATAACCCATTGAATAATGAGGAAGACACTCATTTTGTCGACCACTTATAAATAAATAGATAAAATAAATGTTTTGTACTGAGGTTGGCTCCGTAAAAACTATGTATTTTTAAATCGATGCAAATATTTTTTTATAAATTCTTTTAAAAAATTCAAAACTAACGTGCATATGTTATGAAAAAACATCAACAGCGACATTGTGTAGTGAGCGAGATACGAGAGCCGATGACCAAGGAGCAATTTGACTGTCATTCCGCTCCGCCCTTATCTTATACTAGACCACAAATATTTTTTTATTTAAAGTTTGACAAAATGATTATTTTAATGTTAGGTTCGGCTTGTTCCTGACCACCAGGAGTCAACACATTTAAATATAAATTGGGGATGACCAGATATCCGCCGCAAGAACCTGACTAAAATTGTTTTTTTGTTGGCAGCAAAAGCCATTGTAGTCAAGTACTTGTACGCCACTGGCTTAGACAAGAGCCACCATAAGAGTTGGCCCAATATATGTGGACTATTGCATTAACTGTTTACTTAGCTGTGCGCCGCCCAAGCTCACTTAAGGTAGCCGGAAATCTGTAAAAGTCTATCTTTCACGTCACTCACTTACCGATAAACCGAAACTTTGTGTGTTTGTGTGAGGTTTTAGCTTTCGATTTTCCCACCATTAAGGATCTAGAATACCGCTCGCATATTACTTGTCCACCCAATTCCCGACTTTGAAAAGGGTCCCAACTTAAGCCCTCTTATCACACCCTTGAGATGAGAAAGGCCGGGTAATACCGGCTGTTCATTAATAAAGTGTTAATATATTTAATTAATTGAGCGTACAATTATTTCAGGATATGTATTTTAATCGCCCAGCAGTCAATTAAATTGAATGGCAGCGAACTAGCAATCAATCTTTTTGAGGATTGCATTAAATACACTCCAAATGATCTTGAGACCTTAGCCGCTCTGGCACAGCTCCAAATGGATTCAAAGAAAATGGACATGTGTCGTAACACTTGCCAGCAAATACTTCAAATTGATGGCAGCAACGAATCAGCCTCTGTGTTAATGGCAGACTTGTCTTTTAGAAAGGTATGTAACAAAATAAAAATGCTTTTGTTTGCAATAATTGCAGCTCATTACAAATGCATAAAATGTTCTAATAATGTTAATGTGATTATTAATATTGTTGTTAAAAGTTATACAAAAATATCGTCTTTTATCCCTTTGCGTCGTACATACATATATACATGCATGCATATTTTATACATGAATAGAAGCATTTATGCGCTTGAGATCCTGTTGCTTGCCTGCCTCCCGGATCATGGGCGCAAAAGGTCATTTTATTATTGAAAAAATATATTATATGTATCTCTCTTGCTCGCGATTTTGGACCAGATGTCTCCGATGACTTTTCCCCCTCTGGTTGTTCTGCATGTGCAGTCTTAATACTGTTTGGTTAGTGCTTAAATCTAATACTTAAGTATTTATTACAATTTATGACCTCGACTTGCATACTAGCGGATAATACTATGTTTACACTACTAGCCCATGGATTAAGCTGCTACATCACCTTTTCTATACTTTAAAGAAGCTCATTGTTTTCCTATACATGTGCTCATTTCTCAATTGCGACTGAGCAATATTTTCACTTGCCAATTTTTTTATAGACCCCAAGTCTCGCTCCTCTATGCTTATGATACTAGTCTCCAAATATTCGATAATCTGATCAACAATGGCTAATTTTTGGTCGACTCCGCGTACTACTGTGACTGTGACTTGTCTTATGCCAATCCGACTTGACTGCAGCGATTCCGACAACTTCCCAAGCATGGAAGTTAAAACACGGTTCAGTCGCTCCGCTTGACCATTAGCCTGTAGTGCGCCCGTTGCCACCGTTATATGCTCTAAACTCTAAAGAATTTAAACACAATGCATCCACTATCATTAACAAGCGTTTTCTTTTAGAGTTAATACTCGGTAGGGGCCTAGGTGATCAGTATGTAGGATATGAAACGGTACACTAGGCTTGGGTATACTATGTAGCGTCCTGTTGTGAATATTCTTTGGAACCAAATGCAATTTCTTATAAAGTTTTCTACCTTAATGCGTATAGAGAGGAACCAAAACGACTTTTTTAGATTATAAACACAATTGTCTGCTGCTAAGTGTCCCAATTTCTCATGTGCTATTTGAATTAATTGATCTTCCATACTGGAGGGAGCATCAAACCGTAAGTTATCTTTTCATCTATTTTGTACACAACACCATTTAAGTACGCCTGGGTCTCTCATTTGCTTTGATATTAAATCAATATCTTCTTTCGCCTACAACGCTAACAATTGGCAAAGCGTGTAGTACTGATTCTTCTATAAACTTAATTTCTTCAATATGTCTGCTACTTACTTCTTGCTTCCTTACTATCGTTCATATGATTATTTTTATAGACATCACTCAAGTTATCACTATGATCATCGCTACATTTGCCTTTGTTCTCATTTCTATGCTTATCTCTATGCTGCTCTCTACGGTTAACGCTGTGCTGATCACTTCATTTTTCAATATGGCTTTCACTTTGGGTTTTTTTGTATTACTATGCTCATCATCTAAATCAGATTGTCTCTGTGCTCTCAATAAATCCTGAAACGGCGTAATGCGTAAATAATGGCAAAGGTTTCAAGCTCAGCACCTGTAGTCTTGCCAGAATATAAAGCTATCGGATGCATTTTTCCATCATCTTGACGTTGCATTAATGCAGCACTGAAATCGTGCACACTTGCGTCAGTGTGCAACTCTGTTTCTCGATTGACAGTGAATATTGCCAGTACTGGAGGATTTGCCAATGCTGATTTGAGTGCGTTAAAGGAAAGGACCGCCCTTCTGTAATAGTTCTGTCTGGGGTTTAGCTATGCTGGCAAATGAAAACACAAAGCGGCGGAAGTACGAAAAAAAACCCAACCCAAACCTATGCCGTTTTATTTACTCAATGTCCCAAGAACTTACATTCCTTTTCTAAAAATATACACTTTTTTTGATTTTTTTCTAAATCGAATTAGTAAATATAACTAACTTGATTCATCAGCTTACCCAAAATATCTACATGCTCCTACAATATAATCCATGTATGCTACAATTTTCTTATCTCTAATAATATTTCTAAACACATCAAAAATAAACTTCTGAAAAATAGCTGGACCGTTCTAAGGCCAAATGGCATCCGTAGGTATTCGTACTGACCTTGAGGGGATACAAAGGACGTGCAGTACACGTTTTTCTTCTACAGTTATTTAGTGAAATCCTTGTTTGAGATCAACAACCGAATTTTTTTAGATACTCTAAGCAATCCTCAATAAGAGGTAGTGGGAAATTGTCACGAGCAGTTAGTTTATGCAGGCTTCTATAATCACTACACATACGGAGCTCTCCCGATTTCTTTCTCACTAAAACAATAGTAGATGCATATGGAGCCGATCTGGGTCGTATAATATTTCTTTTTAATAAGTCCAAAAAAATTTCTGTCACTCTCTCTCTCTCTTTCATAATAAGAAAGTGTACAACGAAAGGGTGTTGTATCAGTTAATCTAATACTTATCTGCTGTCTCTGTCTTTTGTTTTTTAATCATTCGTGCTTTTCATTTTATTATAACAAATTAATTTAATATTCATTTTTGTCAATGAAATATGGCTTAATAACACCTTGCTAGATAATACTTTGGATCTTACTACATAAAATAAAATAATAATATATATAATATTTAGATTTAATATTATGTTGGTTGGATAGTCTGGGAGTGAGCCAGGATGGCTTTGGTGGAGTTCAGGGTGTTAAAAAAAAAAAAATTGCAATATTGATATCAACCGAGACATATAAAAAAGACAAATCGGTTGCATCAATACGATGATTAAGTATGGAAAAGTTTCCTCTGCGAAAGCAACGGTGGGGCTTAGAGGTAGTAATGAAAATAAGATATAAGAGGATTACAATAAGACATTGCAACCTCATTGCAATAAAGGAGGGGCACACACATAAGCACATAAGATAATCGTTGACAAATACTAGATCAAGTGTTTTATTCATATGATTAGAAATTGAATTGATTTGAAACAATAAATGCGTGAAGTCCTTAAAGTCATGCTGTGCTGAGTGTATTAGATCATTTTCGGCAGTGAATAATGACCATGAGATATTCGGTAAAATAAAATCATCTAACACTACACATAGATCATTATCACACACGCATGAAAAACCTGTGTAATACAATTAATATTTTTCATATACACTTGAATATCAGAAGCAGGAGGAACATGGGAGCTTGTAATAAAGATATTGTCTGATGGAAAAGACACCTAAACTGAGACAATCTCAGCATCAGTAGGCGTAGTAAAACAGGGTTCTGATTTAAGAGTGCCCTAAACGGCTGCTAGTACCCCACTACCTCGAGCCGGCCGATCAAAATCCTTAAACTCAGATAATGCTAAATTTACCCATCTTTCTGAAAATGAGACCTTTGATATTCTGATAATGAATGGAATTTTTTGCGGCAGTGATGGTATCTTGTCTTTGTACCTTTTTTGCTTAAACTCGTAAACAATCATATGTGGAGGCCAAAATTTAGAATAACAAATGATTGGGAATGAATCATGTAAAACATAAAAAAAAACACAAATTATGACATACCAGCAGTAGTGGAGAAATTAGATTTGATTATTGACACGCTAGCAGAAAATCTGATAGCAATATCAGCAGCCAATGACTCTCAAGTGGTGACAGACGAATGTCGAGACACATAAAGTAGGAAATGATGGCAAAACAGGAATTGGAGGGGCCAAAGAGGCACCGTGATTGCTTTTAACAATCAAGGCTAGATTTAGTGCAGGTATATCTTTGCGGAAGCAGTTTCGCTGACTCGGGCAGGTTTAACAAGAGGGTCTATTGGGACTACTCCTAGAATACCACAGTGGTAAAAATCGCTTGAAGGAAAGGGTAAATACAAAATTTGCGGCTTTATTCGGCGATTGCTAAGCTTGGCTATTTGTTAAGCAACTCAAAACTCGAGTTCAAGTTACTCGAGAGCTTTTAAGAATTGATTTCTCACGCAAGCCGCCGCAGCCCTTTTAGGCGATGGCAGCGAACCTGTCGTTATCACGCCCAGTAAGACCTGCATCATAATCATACACAACTAGCAATTAGTTAATTCGTTGCTTTACTACGACCTGCTGGATTCACTTTTAAATACGAGACTTATGGCAAGGGCTCTTAATTGTATTCATCTAAAGATTTCACGGGCACGATATTTTACAGACTCAACAATTGTATTCAGCTTATTTTTATCGCATGCAAGCTGATGGAAAACTTTCTTACCCAACTGCGTGACTGAAATACAAAAGTTACGAAGTATACAGGATAAGTTTAAAGTAGAGTTGAAATTAAACTAGGCAAATAAAATTGTATCTAGGTGATTGTATCTCACGTTGGGATTTTTTGAGGCATCCAGTAGATGAATGGGCTCACGCGCAATAGTTCTGTAGTGACAAAGCAATACCTGAACAGAGGACGGAAAAGTTTTCACTTGCAGTGAGTTTCCTTGAGACGACGGCGACTTACGATGCTATCGGGGAATGTCAATTCACAAAGAATTTTTGAAACATCAGCGCATGTTCAGCTACAGTTATAGGTGGCGTAGATCTATTTTCTCTACATTATTTACAATTTATAAAATTTAATACTGCGTGAGAAATTCATTAGGTTAAAAAATAAAGGACCTATTAAGTCTATAAAAATGTAATGTTTAAGTCCCTTCATCCTAGAAGAATGCCAATAACAAAATTTTCTTTTGCTCACACATCTGTCTGTGCCTGTATGTAGAGCTCGAAATTCAGAAATAACATTAACTTCAAATCTTATCAAATTTTCCAGGGACAGGCAGGCAACCAACAGGTACAAAAGCGCATAAATGCTTCTATTCATCAAAAAGAATGCCAATAATGAAATTTACTTTTGCGCCCATGATCTGCCCATTTACGCACATTTGTGTGTGGTTGCCTGTGTGTAGAGCTCGAAATTCAGAAATCGCTATAAAATGGTAAATGCA